TTGGATTAAAAAGTTTCTCATTGAAAAATATCTTTTTCAAACTCAAAACTGTTCAAGAAAGTGATCCAATTATTTTTTAGTTCTTTTTAAAAATAAAAGAATGATCTTTTAAATCAACCCTTTAATCACCATTCAATCAAAAACACTCTTGCAACAGTTATTTGTTACCTAACCTGTAAAGGGGTTGGACTAGATGACCTCCTGAGGTCCCTTCCAACCCTAATTTTCTATGATTCTATAATTTTCAGTAAATGAAAGTATATACAGACCTTTTGACTATTTTTGAAAGAATAAAGCTGTTGAACAACAAATTAAAATCTCACATTTATTTTGAAACCTTAAAAAAAACCAACCATCACATTTGGAAAATTTTGCAAAACTACTTTTATTGTCAAACAGTTTTAATTCATGAATATTATTCTTATTGCTGATGTTGTTACCACTGTAGCACTTATAAAACCCTGTACCCTATTGTGTTTTGTGCTGGCTCTCTGGACAGGGGGGAATTTCATGCATGAAAAGTCATTTCTCAAACAACCATGAGACAGAGAAAGGGTTCATACAAATGCTCGAAATAGCAACTAGCAAGGGGTCATGAACATGGCTGAACTAAGTAGGGACTAGGAATCTGCACAAATATTTACAAATGCTGCTTGCAGTGCTCAACCAGATCTAATTGCCAGCATAAAAGCTATATCAGCCTGCTGTTTAGAAAGCACAGTAAGTGCTAAGAATTTAAATGTACGTTAGCTCAGGCATGATCCTCTTATAACTGGAATATTGATTTGTCTGCAAAAGATTTAGACAATTCATTTTCAGACATGTTTGCAGGGAAAACACCTTATGATTACTGGAGATCTTCCGTAAAAGAATGCTGTGCTTTGTTTCACTGCATGTGGATTTTATATATCAAAAACGAAATAGCTTTACCTGAAGAACTCCCATTGATCACACAACTGGGCACGTCTACACATGCCTTTGATCTGGGATCACTTTACTTGCTAGCAAACTACTTGCGAGTAAACACTCTTGGGCAGGCATCTACACATTCAGGGAAGAGGGAGCAGATTTACTGTTAATAGCAGCAAACAGTTCCTGCTTCCTGGAGCCCTGCAATGGTCCCCTGCTGCCATCAGGGGGAGCTCTAGGTTGCCCTGGGTGCTAGCCCAGGGGCTGGCAGGGAACATTGGGCCAGGAGACAGCTGTCTCCTGGCTTGGGCTGGGACTTGCTCCCTGCCCCTGGTGGGCAGCCAGCTGCTGGAGCAGGGACAATATCCCCCTGCCCCGGTAGCAGGGAGCTCCTGGCCCCAGCTCCCTGATTGGGGGCAGAGGACTTTGAAAGAGCTGCAGGGGAGGGGCAGGTCCCAGTCCCCTGCCCTATCCATCAGTGGGCAGCTAGTAGCTAGCTTACTGCTACCTGCTCCACAGGTAGATCAGGGAAGGGAGTTGGGACCTACCCCACCCCTGCAGCTCTTTCCAAGCCCCGTGCTTTATTCACCAGATTGAAGCATGGAGCTGGGACCTACCCCTGACCCTGCCAGTTCCCAGCCCCGGCTCCACAATTGTGGGATGGGGACTGGAGAGCCTGTTCCCTACTCAGCTCCATGAGTGCAGAACTGGGCAGGGAACAGGCTGGGGAGCTTGTTTTCTGCTCAGCTCCATGAGCACGGCACTGAGTGGAAAACAAGCTCTCTAGCCTGTTCCCCACCCAGCTCTGTAATCATGGACCTGGGTGGGGAATAGGTTCCCCAGCCCCCGACAGCAGGGAAATTAAGGTTTGCCAGCCAGAGCCCTACTACTGTGGAGCTTGGGCTGGAAAATAAGGATCTCCCAGTGCTGGCCCCATGGTCACAGAGCTGGTGCTGGGAAATAAGGGTCTCCTAGCTTCCTGCTCCCTGATCGCGATGGTGGAGCAGGGGGCTTGGAGCTCCCTGCTTCCGGGAAAGGGGACATAGTCCCCTCCTGGGCTCCGGTGGAGAAGCCTATCCCAGCAGCAGGCAGCTCCCAGAGTCAGGGAGCTATCTGCTGCCCCCTGCTAGCCAGCTGACTGGGAACATATTTGCATCTACATGAGTGCTACTGCACCATTACTAATCACAAGTAAATTTGCTACTTGCATTTGCAGGTAGCATATTTACTTGCAATTAGCAAGGTTTACTGCACAGTAAGCATGTGCACATGCAGACGCACGTGCTTACTGCACAGTAAACTATGCTGCTTCACAGTAAAGCATCTTGTGTAGATGTGCTCACAGAGTTACATGTCTAAGACAGATGTAAAGATTATTATGCAGGAAGACTATGGGGTCAAATGAAAAATGAGAAGGAAGTAAGTGAAGGTAATAATATCGATGCAATTAGGATCTGATATGATATACAGGTACAGCATTGCCTCAGTGGACAGAATAAGCAGCACTTATCTTAGTATCATAGGATCTACAGCATGATAACTAATGTGAGCTCTCCTTTAGATCCAGCGTATGGAGCATGTGCTGTTGGCACAGGAGAATAGCCTGCTCTTGCTGTCAAATTCTGAATGATAACCATGAAGTACACTTGGCTATGGATATCTTGCAGCAACAGCTTTCATTCAAGAAGTTCCAGGAACTCTGTGGACATGCCTAAATGGTGATAACTTGTCTCCATGAACAGTAGACAACTGTTGTTATTCTCCATCATACAAGTGAGGACACTGAGTCCTAGACAGTCTTGCTTCACCCTTAGAGGGTATTTATGCCTTAAGGCATGACAGGTATTTTTCTGGAGATCTCCTTGAGGACAGCTGTGTGTCAATCTCCACTGGGTGTTAGCCAACTAGTCTATGACCCTGACAGCAAAAACTGTTAATTCTGAACAAACCCTACATAGCAGCTAATAGTAGGTGCTTTAAATGTTCATTTCTTTGCTCTTAAAGAGCATATTAGTCAGGTTCTGTAACCCTGAAAGCTCAACCTGCTGTTTTCTCAGTGGGTCCTTCATGTTTCTGCATTTGCCTCTGTTGCAACTTAATGTTATTTCCATCATTATCTTGCTAACAGATCTTAGTTAGAGGGAGAGAAAAGTAAGATCTTTCACCCATATGTTTATCTTACTAATGGGAATTAGCCAAATGGAAAATGAGCAAAAGCAACATTCATTTACCATGAAAAAGCAGGCTGGAAAGTGTCAGGGAGATGCAATGAATGAACGTCTCTTGCTAATGGCTGACTGGTCTTGTTATTAATACAGATATAATGATGTTAAGCTTCTCTATTAAGTCAGCAGGTCTAGGCTATTGGTTACACTTCATTTATTAGAAATAGACTTATTTTTCAATTATATCTTAATTTGCAGTGTCTTTTAAATGCCTGGAGAATATAAAAAGCCGAAGAACATAACAGTGAGGATGCTACAGTGTTTCATCAAGATAAACATTCAGTAAGAGAAGGAAAGACCTGAGTTTCACATTTGTCATATAGTTGTTCATTGTTTTCAAGGAAATTGTGATGATCCTTCTCCTTTTTCTGGAAAAAAATAACTATATCCATACAGATTATAAATAAATCAAATCTAAACTGAGATCATGTCTGAAACTGAAAAATTCCCAATAAGTCAGGAAGTTCAGATTTATGAACAGAGGGATCTACAGCTGAGAACCCAGCTCGAGTTAGGCAGTGTTTAACAGTACAGACCTGGGTAGCGGCTGACTGAGCGGGTGTGCCAGGAGGGGCAGGGGAAAAGGGACGCAGCCTTCACT